TCTTGAATTCTTCCTTGTGCTTTGGCTTCTCTACGCTCCAGTGCAATCTTCAGAGTCTCTTCTGATATCCATTTTGGTCTTTTCTTCCTCTTCTGACTTTGTAATGACAGTTTGCACTCTTCCTGGATGATACCTTTGACATCCTGATCACTGGGAAGTACAGAGATAATTTATCAGAGGCCTGAGCCATATCATATCAAAGGTTAATTGGAAAGAAGGGGGGAGAAAGGTACTGATAGGGCAGGGGGAGGTAAGGAGAGGGAACAACAGAGAGGTTTGCTGACAGAGTGAGGATGGAGGACAGGACGACAGTGCATGCACCAAAGGAGAAGGTAAGACCAGCACCAAAACTGTTAGCTATGTAATGGGGAAGGGTCTTTGGTCTCCTTTTGGGTAAAATGCTTGTCTGTCAGATACTTTTCTAAAGCTGAGCATCCAAATTGAGACAAACTAGGAATAAGACTTGGCCTTCGCTTTATCAGGCCTTCACCTACCCTGTGCACAACAGAGCACACTCACATTGTTTGTTGTTGTTAAGTGTCATTGAGTCATAAGTGACTCATAGAGACCCTATGAATGAAAGTCCTCAACACTTGTGTGACCTTCATCCTTTCTCCAGGTTCATAGATTTTCTGGAGGCAAGCTATAATGGAGTGGATGCCACTCCTGCTTCCAGTCTTGTTTTAATCGGGGAGCTCCACAAATACTGTCCATCAAGGGTAATCATTAATGCATTTGACACATCAGTGTCACAGTGTTCAGCTTCACAGCAACCACAAGTTACTGCAGTACGGCAAGTGGACACACCAGGGCTATGTGACCTAGAAAAATGTTTGACCAAAAATAATGAAAAACAGGCCTGAGGACCACGGATTAAGCCACTAGGCAGACACTAGAGATTGGAATGTGGAGTGTGAGAAGCATGAATGTGGGAAAATTGGGCAGTGTTAAAGAAGAAATGGAATGCATAACTATTGACATACTAAGCAACAGTAAAATGAGATGGAATATTTTTAATTAGACAATCACATAATCTACTACCCCAGGAATAAAATGGGCCACATTACTTACTTGGCTCTATGATTAGCACCCTTTGTACCAGCAGTCAGTGAATCAGGAGATCTATTACTGGGAAAGTCTGCAGTTGAGAATCTTTACAATTTATTGAGGAACAATTATGCCACCTCAAGGAATAAGGTATATCTAAGAATCAGGCCACAGTCTTCCTATGCTTCTAAGAGCTTCCTACATTTCTAAGGGCTAGACAATGAATAAGGATGACAGAAGAATTGATATCTTTGAACTGTGGTAATGGAGAAGAGTGCTGAATATCCCATGAGCTGCCAACAGAACAAACAGATCTGTCTTAAAGAGGGTGAAACCAGGGTGCTCCTTGGAAGAAAGGATTTTGAAGCTCTGTCTCACATCCTTTGGTGCAGCCAGAGTTCTCCTTGGAGGCAAGAATGATAAAAGATTCATCTTACATACTTCAGGCATGATGCTGGGAGAGGTTATTCCTTGGAAATGGACATAATTCTTGTGAAGGTGGAGGGTTGGCAAAAGAGAGAAAGTCCCTCAACCAGAAGGACCAACATAGTGACTGCTACAATGGGCTTTAGTCTGTCAGAAATAGTAAGAATGGCACAAGACAGGAGAGAGTTCACATCTGCTGTTCATGGGGTTGCTGTGGGCTGTACTCAACTTGACAACACCTATCAAGAATAACAACAACAGCAGCATCATAATGTTAGATAGTAAGTACAGTGAGGCACCATGATCTCAGAGTTAAATTACAATAAGGTACCAATCATTTAAGGAAAAACCACCAACAAAGCCAGCTAACTACCTTTGAGTCTATTCTAACTCACTGCAAACATCCATCAGGTTTCCAAATAAGTAGAAATCCAATTCCAATTTCCTGTAAATCTTTAAAGGAAGAGACTTATTCTTTTTCTCCAGTGGATTCAAATCTTTCCATTATTAGTTAAGCTTAGAACAGTCTACACCTCTAGGGTTCTGAAGTTTAAAAGACTTAAATTCCACACTATAACTAATACTCAACTGGAGAATTCAACAAATTTAACTATAACTTAGAATACCTACAATTCACAAACTCAAAACAGAAGGATACAAGAGGGGTTTATGCACTTGATAATCATTGTTGTTGTTGAATGCTGTCAAGTAGCCTGCAACTCATAGTGACCCTATGTACAACAGCCCTAAACCCTGCCCTATCCTGTGCCAACCTTATTGTCTCTGACACACCTACCCGCATTACCTCAGTCACTGAATCAATCCATCTCATCGAGGGTTTCCTCTCCTGTGCTGTCCCTCCATCCTTCCACCCTCCGCACCTGACAACAGAAACACAAAGATATGATAGGAAGATTAGGTGGCAGGAAGTTTATGTTAGTGGGGAAGAAGCAATTTGAAAAAGAAAGATAAGGATAGCTGCACAACTCAAAGACTCTAGTCAATGCGCCTGAACTGTATACAAAGAAATTGATGCACTGGTTATGTGCTACTTTTGTGTACTTCCAACAATAAAAGCACAAAATAAATCCTGAAGACAATAATAACTGATGAAAGCCTATTAAATAAGTAAGCAAGTAAAAGTAAGGAGCACTTGTGATTATTTGTAACGTATCTGTGCTCTCTCGCTCTCTCTTTCTCTCTCTCTCTCTCTCTCTCTCTCTCTCACACACACACACACACACACACACAGAAATACATGGAGAAATATAAAATAGAGTTGTGATCGCATCCCAGCAAGTCTGTTGAATATTTCCGTTTCATTCACACTCATGTCCTCCTCAACAGCAATTAATTTTGCCAAGAGTTATCAGGCTGTCAAAGATGCTGTCTGCTCACAGAGGAATCTTTATTCATAAATTTGTCAAAGATTGTTAGACTTTTTTCAGACCAGAAGTCTGAAGACATTTGGGATGGAGGAATAGCAAAGATCCCTAATGAACTTCTAGAGTATCTTATAAAGATAGATATGCTATTAATTACAGTGGAAGATTTCCTTAGGAGCCCAGCCTCTCAACAGGAAAAAGATGTGACAGTCTGCTTCTGTAAAGATTTATGTCCTGGGAAAGTCTATGAGTCAGTTCTACTCTGACCTATAGGGTCGCTATGAATTGGAAACTACAACAAGTGTATTAGGGGCAGAGTTGGAACCAATGACTGACAAAGCCTCTGGCTAGTGAACCATGGGAGAATAGTGGTGGTTATTCTTTTTTTCTTCCTTTCTTTTTAACTATTGTCCCTAAAAACTTATTAAGATTCAAGGTAGAACAATCAACCAAGGAATAAAGTGATAGATATTCCTTTACTGGCCTTTGACCTACACAAAACGAAAGACATTTCTAGAGGAGTTAAGTTGTCTAGGTAAATAGAAAAATATTTAAGGGACAAAAATTTCATAATATTGCTGGACAGCTTCAAAACTTGACTTTTCTCAGTATACAGAAATTATAGACAAGTAGATAGTTATGGGAAATAGTCTTTAAAAAGAGACCAACGATAAGAAACATCACGTTTCAGGCCCGTGGTCAGAGAGGTGCAGTGGCTACTGAACTATGGATACACGTTTGAAGTTGTGACCAGATCCTCACCCAGGGACAGTCTGTGTCCATCGCTGCTGGGGTGGCAGGTGACACCAACGTCCTCCTGATGACTGCAATCATGTCTTCCCCACGGCCTCCTGGTGCATTGCATGAAGTTGGTTTCCTTTCCTGAGCAGCTGACATCATCCAGCCATATGGGTCCTCTGCTCTCCTCAAAATGGTTTGCAGGCACTTGTTTGCCATATCTGTGGCAAGAAAGAAACATTGTGCATAGAACTGCTGTCTCTTACTTCAAAGAACCACAAAGAATAAACCAATCAGCCTAATAGTGTCATAACTTCAGAAGGTAAGTATTGGTTCTTTCTGCTCCCAGGGAACATAGTTTTACTGACAGTGTTTGCTGCATCACACATTTTAACCATCTTAGCTTTTTTTAAAAAAAATTCTTTCTGTGGGTAGGTGATGACTGATTAATGCTTTACTCCCATTCATCGTTGTGTTTTGTCCATACTGTTACCCACTGACTAAAACAGATAAATCTTAAGCTCCTGAAATCAATACAGTGCCATGGAAAGAACACCTCATACTACAAAGCAAAAACATTTTGTCCTATATCTGCCTTTGATAAGCCATCTGAGCTCATTTAATTTCAATAGTCTCCTTTAGGTCTTAACCTAAGACTGAAGGCTAACCAAAAGGCTATCCCTTTCTCCAAAAGTAAAGTGTGCATTAGCTAAGTGATCCTTCCAGCACGGTGCCTACTCCATGATGTAATTTGGATTTCTGCCTATCAGTGGAGCTTAGTTTTTCATAAGATTATATATATTCAATGTGTTAAGTGTAATAAATCATGTCTGTGCTCCAGCTGACTATTCTAACAGTGTACTATGCACATATACACACAAGCACTGAACCAAAATGCATAGCCTATTACTGTCGAGTCACTTCTCATCCACCATTACCTGAACTTCGTCATAGGGTTTCCAAGGCTGTAAGTGTGAAAAAAGCAAACTGCCCTATCTTTGTCCCTTGGAGCAGCTGGTGCATTCAAAGTGCAGATCTTTTTTCAGCAGTAGTTGAGGATGTAACCACTGACGCGGTGCTGTTTTATAGAAATAATCATTGAAGAAGAAAGTGCTTGAAAACAAAAATGTTAACTAAGCCTTGTTGACTGTGCCTTCTTTCACTGCGCCCTTGCCACCGACTTCGTTTTCTTTTCTTTGAGAAAAGCTAAAACTCCAGGAACCACTGAGCTAAAAGATCTTTAAGCTGTATTTGAGTCTCAGAGTCCATGAAAATCAAGAGCCTTTCCTCATAAATATGATGTCATTTCCCTCATTGGATATATTTTTTCATTATTTCTACACTAAGAATGAGAATTTCCTGGTTGGCACAAACAATTAAGTGTTTAGCTATTATCCAAAAGGCTAGCAGTTTGAAACCACCTAGAGGCTCCTCTGGAGAAAGCCCTTCTGCTCTACTATCAAAGATCATTACCACTGCGGAGCACAGTACAACTCATCAGCTCAGTAACTGGCATGATTTTGGGATTTAGGGGAGTTTCCTACTAAGAATAGGAAAACTTTTTCTGCTTGCTATAGTTTTTAAGATTTTTATTACCTTATTTATGAAAGATGATTTTTAAACATTAAAATTAATGTAATTGAACTTTTAATCATTCAAAGCTCTACCTTTATTTTGCTGAGCTCTATCTAGTGGGTAAAAAATCATGTCGGCAAGCCAGAAGTAGATAGGTGGTTTGAATCCGCCAGCTGCTCCATGGGAGAAAGATGGGCTATCTCCTCCTGTGCCATTTACAATCTCTGAAAACCCACCTAGAGGGTGTTTTCTCTAGATGTCATATAACAACAACTTAAGAACAGCTAAGACTTATGTAGAAAAAGTAGTCTAAATTATATACTGCACTATGGTTTTCCATTTTTTATCATTTTCCACAAAATGCATCAATCTGATTACCATCTATACCCATTATTAAGGAGCTCTGAGGGACTAGTTGATAAGAAGTTGTGCTCCCAATCCAAAGGCAAGTGGTTTAAATCCACCCATTATTCATCCAAGAAAGAAAGATGGGGAATTTCCTCCTGTAAAACTTACAGTCTCTTAAAACCTACTGGAGAGCCTCCTACTAACATTCTGTGTCAGCAGCACTGACTCTTCTTCAGAGATTTGACCAAAGACCAAGATAAAAATGAAAGAAGGACCTTCCACAGAGAGATGGAGCATTGCAGAAGCCAACGAGCCGTTGCCCTTAGTGGACAGAGCCAACACAATCCTCTTGATGTTACATTGTGCATGTCTGTAGCCAGGAGCTCTACATCTTTCACATTTTTTATTAGCAAGTAACTCGTAAGATTTGTGAATCTCCTTAAGATAACTGTGAAAGACTAAGTAATCGAAATTTTCACTATGTCTTTCTCTAAGACTCTGAAAAAACAAACAAACAAAAAAACTTCTCAGTGTCCCACAGGTCAGGTGAAGATAAAACGGGACCAGCTCTCAGATGCATAGCTAGGAATTGGAAAGACTATGGTCTGAATCAAACGCACCTTAGTCTTCAAACTGACATCACTACTCCTCAATAATTTGGAGAGGTCCCTAACTGCAGATTTTCCCAGTGCAATGTGTCTCCTTATTTCTAGACTACTGCTACTATAAAGTATGTATAAAAAATACATGGTTTGGATTTTGAGGGGCCAATGAGTGGAATGATATGAACTGAATTTTGTCTTCCTAAACACGTGTTTTAAATTAAATCATGACCTTTATATCTGTGATCATAATACAGTTTGAGAATTTGTATTCCTTCTGATGTTAATGAGACAAGATTAGTGCTAAATGAGTCTTAAGGCAATCACTTTTGAGGTATGTTGTTATGCACCATCAAGTCGGAACCACCTCCTAGCTGACCCTCCAGAAAGTTTTCAGAGGCAGTATTATCACACAGGAGACTGTCCATCTTTCTCTCATGGAGAAGCTGGTAGATTTGAACAACATGCCTTTGGGTTGGCAGTGGAACTCCTTACCACAAGGCCACCAGAGCTCTCTGAGATATAAAAGGTATAGGTTAGAGAAGCAAATAAAATACAGAGGATAGTAAACAAACATGCAAGTAACACAGAGATACAAAATCACATGAATAAGCCACCTAAGAACACAAGAAGGATAACTATATCTAAAAAAAACAAAACCCTCAACGTTGTTAAGTCAGAATCAACTCTTATGTTTCTAAGGCTACAAATCATATAAAAAGAGATTGTCCATTTTTCTCCCTGGAAGTCATGAGTGGAGTTGAATCTCCAGAGAGGCATGGTTTATAAGTTAGCAGCACATGGATAGATAGATAGACAGATAGACAGACATGTTTGGATAGGTGTCATAGAGTCAACCCAAGCACATGACAACTTAATGAACAAGGGATTTCTAGTGCCTAAACCACCCCCGAAATAGGTTTCAGAATGGACCATTGAGGTCCATAAGGTTTTTATTACTGATTTTGAAAAAGATCACCAGGTATTTCTTCTTAATCTATCTTACCTTTAAGCTCTACTGAAATCTATTCAAAACTATAGGGACATAAAAGCCTCCAGTGACAGATGGTAGCTGAACACAAGGAACATTGTATTGGAATTGAACCTATGTCTCCCACATCAAATGTGAGAAGTCTACCACGATACTTATTTAGCTGGATAGCTAGAGAACATGTATTTTTAACATTGTAGAAAGTATAAATAGTTGGCAAAATCAGACTCTTAAAAATGTAATATGGAATCTGAATAGATCTTACTTAAATCCCAGCTGTCGGCAAACCACATATGTATTCAGTTCCATCCAGCCATCATCACAGACTGTGCCCCACTGTCCCCTGTAATACACCTCCAAGCGACCCTCATGGCTGCCTTTCCCACCTGCAAGTCTGATGGCCCCATCTGTGATGAGAAAGAGACAAGACATACTAAGAAAATTAATTCTAAAAAGAAAAGGTAAAACAGCAGTTTCATTTTACTAAAAATATCACCATATTCATGTCTCTATAAGTCTTCTGTTAAACTTGATATAGGACTTTACTCTATGAAGATTTGAATCAAGAATAGTTTTTAAAGTGTTACTCTTACTAATCCTAAGAAAATACTTCCTTTTGCTATATAAATACATTATGATTACAGAGTAACTATACTTTTCATATTAAATATTTGGGACACATCCTATAATTTCTGTCTTCTCAAGTTTGAGCAATACTGGTCATTTAAATTTACAACACAAGAAAATACAGTCACACAGAAATAGTTCAACATTTTAATTGCAAATGAAAAAAAAACACATTTAAACTATGAAAGCACAAATTGCTATTGGGTATAAAAAGTAACCTGTAAAGTCAATGCATTTATTATTCCTGTTGTCACCAAGCAGGCTACAATTCATGAAAACCTCATCTACAAAAGAATGAACTACCTGGTTTTGTACCATCTCCATGATTACTAGTATACCTGATACCATTCTTCTGCCCACTGTGTATTTTAGTTGCCTTTCAACTTAGGGTACTCACTGTCAATCAATCAACATTCAGTTTGATCCATAGGGTTTACACTGGGGAATTTCTAAGAATTCTAGTATTACTTCTTCCAAGATTTTATTTTCTTCTGGTTGTTGTTGTAGTTGTTATGTGTCGTTGAGTTGCCCGTGACTTATTGGGACCCTATGTACAACAGTTCTGAAAACTGCCCTATTTTGAGCCGGTCTCACTAGCTCCAACACATCCACCCCCATTACCAATGCAAAAATTCAACAACATTAAATCTTTTTCTGTCTTCCTTATTCATTGTGCAACTTCTGCATTCATTTGAGACCTTTTTTACAGACATTCAGAATTTTTAACATATCATTGAGACTCTTTTAGGAACAATTAATTTCTGCTATTTTATGTATGCAAAATATTTATTATATTTATAAAACAAAATAGAAAAGCTATGAGGCAAACTCTGAGCCCTTGTTTTCACTAGTAAGAAAGAAATTAAAATAAAGAGTAAATATTAAGGTTTATTACTCTCTTTACTAACGCTGTGAGAACAGAATATAGTTCTCAGACAGTCTCATGGCTCAGTCTTTACAATGAAATTTGGCTTCTAAATCCTTTATATGTGTTCTTTGTAGTAAATTTACCTAATGCAATAGATCAATTTCTTTTTTTAATTGCTTCCACGGATATTGATTGAGAATACAAGGAAAATACAACTTCAATCTTTTCTCCAGGCATCATGATATCATACGGGTCCAGCTGTGAGGATTTTTGTTTTCTTTATGTTGACATGTAACTCAGTACATAAGGCTATACAGTCTTTGATCTTCATCAGTAAGTACTTCATAGTCTCTTCCCGTTCAGCAAGCAATGTATATCCCTTTCATACTGTAGCTTGTTAAGCAGCATGTTTCAATTAAGTAAATAAAACTCTCTCATTGCTGTCTAGTTGGAACAAACTCATAGCTGACTCTCCAGAGTTTCTGAGACTATAAATCATAGAGGAGGAGAATGTCTGCCTTTCAGCCATAGAGCTGCTGGTATATTTAAACCACCAGGGAAGTGTGGTCTTTGAGCAGACACTGCAACACCCTACAGACGATGGCCCTAGAGCTCCCCAATTAAGCACATTAACTCTCATTGCTGTCAAGTTGGAAATGATGAAGAGCTGATCCTCCATTGTTTTCCCAGACTGTAAATCACACAAGGGGTGATTACCCATCTTTCTCCTGCAGAACCATTTGGTAGTTTCAAAGCACCAGAGAGGCCCAGACTTCGGGCAGCTCCTGGCAGACTATAGCATCAGAGTTCCCTACCAAAGTAAACAGAAGGGCCTAAAGTCAAAATTTGATTGTAGTTTTTAGGTGCTGTTGAGCCAACTCAAACTCAAAGGAACTCTGCATATAACAGATTGAAACCTTGCCTAATCCTATCCCAACCTTGCAATCTCCCACATGCTTAAGCCCTCTGTTGCAGTCAATGTGTCAATCCATCCATCCATCTTCCTCTCTTGTAGACTCTCTAGTTTTCCAAGCATGATGTCCTTTCCAAGTACTGACTTCTTCTGATGGTATGCCCAAGATACATGAGAAGGCTCATCATCCTTGCCGCCAAGTAGCACCCACGTAGTACTTTTCCCAAGCTAGATTTGTTTGTTCTTTTGACATTCATGCTACATTTAATATTCTTCAACAATGCCCACAATACAAAAAGCATTAATTCTTCTTCAGTCTTCCTCAGTCATTGAGAATCAATACAAGTTAACACATGAATAAACTAATTATATAATATTTGAACCAATCATTTGTTATGGATTTAACAGGAGCCCTCCAAAACACTGTAAATCCTAAACCACTATACTTATGGATGAAACACCATTTGGGAATAGGATTTTCCTTGTTATATAGGGTGGGTTTAAGCCAAGTATCTCTTGGAAAGAGTATGTTAGACAAAGAGAAGGAAACACAGAAGGAGGAAATTCATGCCACATGGAGATAACAAAATAACAGAAGCCGAAAGAAATCGGAACTTTCACCCATAGCCTATAGAGAAAGTGATTTCCTAGAGTTGACTCCCTGAATTCAAACTCCTAGCTTCAGAATTCTAAGAAACTAAGTTTTACTTCAGTTAAAGCTACTCACTGGTAATTTATCCATTCTAGAATCACTAAGGAACTAAAACATCATTCCACAAACTGTGATTACCTAACATAAATTGTGATTTATTGCAACAAAGTCCTATTTCCTGTTCTAGCTTTATGGATCTTAGTCTTACATTAAAATTTCAGAAATGTATATGAATAAGGAAACCATTTTTCAATATGCAATTTTTGTTAAAACACATTTTGAAGTTTTATTTGCAAAATCTATTTATATGGTTGTAGTTGCTGTTGTTAGGTGCCATCAAGTATGACTCATTGCAACCCTAGGAACAAGAGATCGGAACTCTGACCTATCCTGTCCCCACCTCACCAACCCTGACACACCTGAGCCCAATGCTGCAGTTACATATGCTGCATTCATGATTCCATTCACAAGGAAATGAATTGAGTTGTGAAGACAATATGCTCTTATGGTGCTGGGACCAAGGCTTGATACATCTACGCATGAAATTCTTACCTGTCAAAGGGGTGCAGGACACTCCAGCATCTTCTTTATGGCCACAGTTATGCTCTCCCCAGGAACTCTTTTGGCACTGCTCAATAGAAAGCTCATTCCCAGTGCAGCGAACTTCATCCAACATTATCGGGCCTGATCCTTCCCCAAAATATGCCTGATTCCAAGCTTTGGCAACACCACTGAACACAAAAACAGAATTCTCTATTAAACACAAAAGATTGGTGAGACTTGCTTCCTTCATCCTCTGTAAAGACACAGTAAAATCCATCCATATAAGAGTACTGATGATTCAGTGACAGATTTCTTGTTTTCTATGTTGTTTGAAACTCACCCAATATACTTCATGTGTGGATATTACCTGTCTGTTAGCGGAGGCTTACATGCTGAACAGTTTCAGCAGGGCTTCGAGACTAAGACAGACTAGAAAGGAAAGTCTAACACTTTGCATTTCATTCTCTTGTACATTAGGTACTCACAAGTCTGGGCAAAGTCAAGGACAGCCAAGAACATGATTACCCCACAGTTTTCCCTTTTCAAGTCCCTTCAAAGATAAGGCCCGACTCTTTTAATTTCCTTTACTGTCTAGTATCTCCTCAGCCACTCCAAATATTTAGCTGCCCCCATTTATTCCTCTTTTCCTCAGTAGTACTGGAACCTCAGATTTTTAGGAGGGCAGCAACTATCCAGAACGAAGGCCACATTTCCTCCCTTTCTACATGACTAAATTTTCATTCATGAGGCAGAGGTAGAATTGTCATACATAATTTCTAGGGAGTATCCTTTCCTTCCTGCTGACTGCAAGGCAGAGGTTGCTAGCTGGAGGTCAAGATGGTATCTTGGGTCATAAAATGACAAGCTCAGAACAGCAAAACCTTAAGCCAGAAAGAGCCTGGTTCCCTGAAGACCTGGCAACCTCCATAGCAGCCCCAGGCTGGCTATCTCTGAGAGATAAATAAATTACTGTCTTCCTTAAACTGCTATTATTTGTAGTTCTCTCTTACTCACAAGCTAGCCTATTTCTAATTAAAGTATCTCTTTATTGAGGTCTTTTATTGGTACTAAATTTATTTTCCCTGCAACTCAAAATGGCATTATAATCTAGCACTCCAGATTTCAGTGAAGACTATTATGGTTACCTATCAAAATGATTAATGGTTGTAGAAATTGTGATTTAGACTTTGAATTTTAGACTTGTTGCTGTGTGACATCGAGTCAGAATCAACTCATAGCTGACCCTCCAGTATGTTTTCAGAGGCAGTAAATTACACAGGAAGAAACTTCTATTCTTATCCTGTGGAGCAGCTGGTGGCTTCAAACTGTATGTCTTGGGGATTGCAGTACAGCTTCGAACCAGCAGGCCAGAAGGTTTACAGTTTTGGTTTTACAGTGATGCTGCATCTATTCATCATTTCAACTGTTCTTTTTATCTCTCATAGCATTATAGCTATTTTGAAGTTTTACACCTTAAATATATTAAAGGGGGGAAAAGATTTTTAATGGCAGTAATATCCTAGTAACGGAGGAGTCCTGAATATCAACTTTTGTGGTTAAAAGTATTTTTAATAATTGAATTTGGAATTTAGGAAAGTTTCTTTAAGATATTTATGTGAAAAAAGAAACTCCTAAATATCTTAAATATGCTTTGTTTTTTTACTGTGCCATATTCTATTATGATTGATTTGGAAAATATCCATCCATTGTTAGAATTTAAAGAATTGGGTAAAACCAACAATCATTTGACATCTTTTCTCAATACAAGTGCCCATGATAATAGACAACTTTAGTTAATTCAGTAGTAAGCTTCATTTCAGTACACCAAGGATAGTCCTTAAATTTAAAAAATCCTTTTTGACATCATGAAACCAAGACCTAGAAAACGTTCCATTATTTCGTAACTTACACTTCATTTAAAATTCAGACAGTGTGCCAAGGAGAAGGAAAAAGAAATGTGCAGAGGAGAAGGTGTGAAAGAAAATGAGAGGAAGTCGATTACTGAAGCAGGGCATTTTGAGGGAATTGAACATTTGAAATTTTAACACTTGAATTCCATCTGATATGTGTGGTATAGTGAACCTCGAGTGGTCTCCCCCAATTAATATTAAAGATTAATATCTCTAACTACACAAATACGAGGGGAGTTTTAAAATCCTCTCACAAATGATATTGCCAAAAGTGACTTAATTTTTTGAGATCATTTGTTTTGCTGAAGGAAATACACAGCTGGAACAGGAAGCTGGTTTCTATATCCCTGGACAGAGGCAATAAAATCTCAATGAACAGAATTTTTAAAATAAACCTTCCAGTTGTTTTAAAGTACATCTACGTGCCTACAAACGAGGACATTAGATCATTGTAAATACTTAGTTATACTACTGGCCAGGCCAGAAGGCTTATACTTTCAAACTTGAGTCCTTGAAGAGAAGAAGTAACTCAGTTTTAAATCTGCGTTGTTCCTTTAACAAAGTGGTGTTTAAATTTGGTCTGTATTTAACTTGGTTAGTTTAGTAAAACTTTTCAGAAATAAGTTATTTCATCTGAAGACAGGAACGATTGTGATTACCGCAGCCTGGTTCTAAGAATTGAACTGTCAGGAAACGTTAGTTCCCTTTCCTTTTTCCTCATACTGTTAGGGAGTTTTCCTCTGATAGCTGATGAATAACACATTTTTTTTCGCTGCTAAGCAATGTATCTCAAAACTGCTTGTCTAAATAAACAACGTAGTTTCCAGGTTTCCTCATCCAAAACAGATAGAGTGGGGCATCTCTGCTGTTACTCGCTGTGACTTAGCTCCACTCACCCAGATTCCATTTGTGCAGAGCTCAGCTGCACTCCACAGGGGTTGGAGGCTGGCTGTGACCCTCTGTGGTGCACCTGGGTGCATTCAAACTGCCAGTCTCAGTGAAACACATGGCCATTTGTGTCACCCCAGAAGGGAACAATCACTTATAATGTTTAGAGTTTCTGGTTTCAATGTTGTAAATCTACTTATTTCAATCTTAAAATGAACATTTATGGAAGTACTGTGTAGCTTTATAAGACACTAGAAAATGTCATGTGTAGCTTTTTATTAAGGTTTATATAATGATGCCTCAAAAGACTATTAAACCATAGCTTTCATCAGTCAGTTCTTGATTCTTGTGGCCAGCACATAAACAGATAATAGAGCCAAATAATTTCAAGTGTTTTGAACCCAATGGAGTATTTTACAAAACAAAAAAGTAGGGATCAAATCAAAATGAATTTTTGCCATTGAAGCACATATGTTCCTAGAAAAACTATTCCCAACCAATAAAAAAATGGTCTTGCTGTTGTAATCTACCACCAAAAATCAAAGCACGACAGTTGAGTAAATTTTGACTCACAGTCACAGTCACTATCACCCTCTATGTTTCCAAAGCTTTCCATTTTTACTGTTCATTTTTCCATTTTTACTTTCAATTTTCACTTCTTTTGAGAACCTGGTGAATTTGAACTGTTGACCTTTTGATTTACCCCACCAGGTTTCGCTTGAAAAACAGAAATGTTTTAAAATACAATTCTAAAGTTGTGAAATATTTGTGAGTAATTTGCAGAATATAGGAGGTAAGAGTTTGAATAAATGAAATGTGTTGATTGACATATATGCTTGCTGAAACTGAGGAGGGCCTGAAGCACTTGCTGCAGAAGGTGAAGGATTGCAGCCTTCAATATGGATTGAAGCTCAACATCAGGAAATCAAAGACTCTCACCACTGTGCCAAATGACAGCATCATGATACATAATGAAGAGACTGAGATTGCTAACAGCTTCAGTTTGCTTGACCCCACAATCAAAACTCTTGGTACCAACAGCCAGAAAATTAAAAGATGAATTGTGTTGGGAAAGTCTGCTGTCAGAGACTTCTCCAAAGTACTGAAGAGTAATGATGTCAGTCTGGAGACTAAGGTGTGTCTAATACAGGCCAAGGTCTTTGCAATTACTTGCTATGCATCAGAGAGCTGGGCAATGACTAGAGATTATAGAAGAATTGATACCTTTGAACTGTGGTGCTGGAGAAGAGTATTGAATATACCATGGACTGCTAGGAGAACAAACAAGTTTGTCCTGGAGAGGGTGGAGCCAGGCTGCTCCTTGGAAGCAGGGATTCTGAAGCTTCATTGGACATACTCTGCACATGTTGAAGGCAGGATCAGTCCTTGGAGAGAGACATCTTTCTTGGGAAGGTGAAGGGACAGTGCCAGAGAGGAAGACTCTTGATGAGATGGATTGATACAGTGACTGGGGCAATGGGGGTATGTGTCAGAGAAAATAAGATTGGCACAGGATAGAGCAGGGTTTAGGGATGTTGTACATAGGGTTGCTATGAGTTGCAGGTGACTCGACAGCACATAACAACAACAACAGTGTTTATATTAAAATTGGTGCAAAAGAAGCTAATCACTTGGACTGTGTGTCTGTGATCTGGGATCTTTTTAAAAGGGGAGATAAGGATGGAAAAAACCAAGAGAGATGAGTAGTCTTCTTCTGTGCTATTTACAGCCTCTATAATCCTGCTGAGGAGTTAGCTATGAGTGAGTTCCAACTCAACTGCATATAACAATAATATCCATAGACAGGATATTATCCTGTCACTCACAACATTGTATTTTAAAATGGCTATGGAAATAGTCTTTATAAGTATGAATGTGACCCCATTTTTCCTCACCTTTTCATTTCTGGCATAGTAAATTATATGACTGTCTGATCAAAAGGTCCCAGGCCAATCTATCTTATTTAGTCAGTGCCTAGTATGTCAATATTTATGCGTTTCATTTCTCTCTTAACAATATCCAATTTTCCTACATTGATGTTTCTCATATTCCACATTTCAAGCACAAGTGTCTACTTGCAACTGTTCCCCCTCCTTTGTGTTTGTCAGCTTGGGGGCTCATCCTCATGTGTCATATCTGCTAGTCTAATATAAGGGTGCTTTATTGTGTGGAGCTTTAGAAACGCTACAGGCTAGTTCTTCTGCTTTGTCCTATAATGTCATTATAAATTCAAATTGACCAAATGGCAACAGATTAAACCAGAAACACAGTTCTCACAACCTTGAGGCTAAGAGAATATTTCCCCAAGCAAAACAGGGAATTCACAAGTCAAAAAACAATAGATAGTGTTATTCTGTGCAGTTGTGTTGGAACTCACTGATAGCTTACCC